TTTTGTCCTGTTTTTACCATTAATGTGTACTTTCATACTTTTTCTCTGTGATTTTTACAAGATATCTGTAATTCAATAAAACAGATCATCTGGAAATTTCCAGAAAATTTACCAAAAAATTATTTGAAAAATGTAAAAAAAATTAATAAAATAAAAGAACAACTCTTTTTTTCAGTGTACTTTAAGTCTAGTAAGTAAATTCTTCCTGTTTGTCTTTTATAATGTATTTATTTATTATTTAGTTAAATCAGAGGCGGATGTTCAGCGGTTAAGGAGAGAACGTGAAGTTTCCGTGTCCTGGTTAAAGGTTCCATCTGGTCACAGCGTACTGAAGGTTTTTATGTTCAGGAAGCTGCTCTGATTCATATTTTATTCAGCTGGAAGTTCGTAAATTCCCCTAAAAACCTGCTCAGAGTTTTAATGCATGAACTCAGCAGCGCTGAACTTAAAAAGAAAACGTCCCAGAACTCGTGTTTTTATCCTTTAACTGACTCCCGTCCTCCTCCTGACCTGCTCGCTTTCTATTTCAATCTTCTCCAAATGCAGCTTCAGTTCCTGGAAAACCTGCTGGAGGCTCAGAGGTCCTCGTTAACAACACTCCGGCCTGTTTTACATCATTTACTGAGACCGATGTCCTGCTTCACCTCCTGCCTGATGCTCCAGGTGAGACGGAGCAGGTGAAGGAGGCGAAGACCAAGAAGGATGGAGGACGAGAGTTTTCAGGAGGAGATGGATTAAGGACGGTAACGAAGACAAACGAGGACGAGAAGCAGAAGAGACGGTTTAGGAAAAGAGAAATCAGGTAAAGAGACGGAGGAGGAAAGTGAGAAAGAAGAAAAAGTTCTAATGAGAAAACTAAAAAACAAGTTTTCTTAACAGAGTTTACCTGTAATTTATAGAAAAATAAAAACCTACATTATTAAACAGACTTTTTATTGTTAGTTTTGGTGAATTACAGATAAAATCTAATAAAATCAGGAAAATAATGTGAATGTACATGTTGACTATAAAAACACATAAAAACTGCATTTTTACTTTATTAATTAGTTTATTTTTTACAACTTTCTGTGATTTTTTCTTTCACAAATTACAGTTTTACTGTTACTAATACTAAGATTTCTTTAAAAAAAAAAAAAACAACTAGTTACTTAACATATATTTGCTGTTATTTGAAACAAAAAGAAGATGCATAAAATAATAAAGATGTTGAAACTGTCAATAACTTTTAAACTGTTATTTTACAGATTTTCTCTGTTTTGCTAAATTACAGATGATATCTTGTAAAATCACGAAAAAACATTAATTTATACAAAACACAGAACAAAATAGAAAACAAACAGCAACCAGGTCAAACCTGTAGATTAAAAAAAAAACCCCATTTATTTATTTTTAGTATTTAAAACAATGTAAACAATGTTTGACCTTAGAAATACCATTTTACAGATATCTGTCTGTATTTTAGGGAAACATTTTTTAAAAATAAAGGATTAAGAAATGGTAAATAATTTCTTAAAGTGCTATTTCACGTATATATTTTACTTTTTTTTTTTTTTTACATTACAGATAATTTCCAGTAAAAATCACAGAAATATTACCTTACATGTGAAATGTAATTTAAAGAAAAAAATATAAAAGTGTAAATAATATCTACATAAATAAAAAATTGTAATTTGTTTGATTGCAATGTGTGACCACAAAATTACTATTTCACTGTATTTAAATCAACTGAAAAAATATAATTCTATAGATATTTGATGTTATTTCCACAGTTTTACAGACTTTCATTTAATTTTTTAGTTTTTAGATTTTTTTCTTGTGCTCTTAAGCAGATTTAGTTTAAAAAAACAGAACAGAGAATAAAAGTGAAGCAGTTTCAATCATCACCACACGTGAACGATTGAGGAGTTTAACGAGTGAAAGGAATGAAAACCGAAGTGAAGAAGAAGGAAACGTGACGAAGAAACGAAGAGAAACGAAGGGAGGAAACTAAAAACCACAGAATGGATGAAGTGTGACGAGCGGCGCTGACGTCGGCTCAGAAACTCCACTCGATCCACAAATGTCAAAACAGTGGAGAAAAAAACCCAAAACACATTTGTGGCCGTGAACTACAGTGATTGTTGTGTTTGCTGTCTTTAAATGTCACGTCGCCGTCATGTCTCACAGCTGGAAGCAGCTGTTTGTGGTGAGAAGAGTGTTTCACCTACAGAGGCTCCACCGCTCGTCCGCCGATGTCGACGCTAAACGCGACTAAATTCACCGGAAAGAGGCCGACAGCTTTCTGTTGTGACTCATGAAACGAATCAGAAGCAGCGAAGCGACTGTTGTGTTTATGAATGAGTGAAGATTAAAAGCCCTGTGAGGCTGAACTGAACGATTCTCACAGCTTTACTCGGGGCAATTCACACAATCAGCAGCAACTTTAAGAAATCGTGGGCTCGTGACGAACCTGTTGGGTGTTATCAGCTGAATCTGTGGCTAATTTGGGATTAGCAGCGGTTTATAGCGAGTTTTAGCTCATTATCAGGTGTCCATCGACAACCTCAGCGCTCCTGTAGTTTTGTTTTTCACCATTTTTTCAGAGAAAACACCCCAAAGTTGCTCAGATGACCCGAAACATTCTTTCAGGGGCGTCTCGATCAAGTTTTTTTGTCATTAATATGATTGGAGTCATTCAATATTTAGTTTCTGCTGATACCATTTTACTGGACACTTTAAATAGTGTAGCTCAGCTGTAGTACCTGGTTGTTCCACCAGGTGGAGCCTCTCACTGTTTGTAACAAAGGTCCTGATAGCATGGTGTTGCATAAAATATCTTAACCCATAAGACAGAAGAAGAAGAAGGTCGTGCATGTAAAAAAAATACATTGTATACTAGCTGCAGTACCTGGTTGTTCCACCAGGTGGAGCCTCTCACTGTTTAACCCTGTAGAGTTTAGAAGATGCTGTAAAGTCTGTGTTGGTAATCAGAGAGTCAGGAACCCGTCTGTGAACTGATGGACAGTGTTCTGGTGCAGCAGGATGGTCCAGGACAAAGTACCGACCTCAGCGTTAAAGCATCAAACCAGACGGCGTTTCCAGGTGGAGACGCCTTCAGCAGACCTTCACAGAGCAGCACGAGGAAGGCGATAAAACAAGAGGAGCTGCTCCTCGTTTCCTCCCCAACTCGAACCTTCTAATGACGACATCTGTCCTCTGGAATTAATAATTAGCGGCTTTGAATCACTGAATTGCGCCCGTAATGAATTCCAAAGTGTTATTCTTCATCTGTCGGAGGTTTTTCTGTCCAACAGAAAAATAAAAAGAGCTGAACGAGGACAAACGGAGCATTTTTTAATCAGTTTGAGGACACGGATTATTAGTAATAAATGAAACGTACTGAGAGCAGAGATTCCTGGATGAAGGTAACGTTGTAGGACGCTAACAGGACGCTGGGACCTTCAGCTAAAGAGAGAAATGAGCTTCTTTCTTCTCATCACGGTGACATTGAGTCTTTAGATACTATTCAGACCAACTGATGTGAAACTAGATGAGAATATATTTATACCCAAACACACGCTTTTACTCTGAAAAGAAAGTTCTGCAGAGTTCTAGACGGTTTCACTCACTCCCTGGAAAGTTCCTCATAAAGTTCCCTCAAGTTGTTCTGCAGTCGGTTCTTCCTAAAACCTTTTCTGAATGTTGCATTGAGAACGTTCTTCCTTTGTTCCCGTACAACATTCTGTTCATAATGTTCTATAATGCGTTACCTCAACAACGTCCTCAGAACGTCTCAGGGAACTACATTTTGTTACTACACAACATTACAGGAACGTTTTAGGGAAAACATCGGATGCATCTGAGGCCTCGATAACATCGTGAAAACATTTTCTTAAATGTTGGTTCCAGAACGTTCTTCTTTGTCGTCTCCAAACATCCTCCGAACGTTCTGGACACGTTTAAGGTTGTTTGGAGAGATTTTAGGTTCTACTGGGAAAGTCTTGAGTCCATTTGGAGACGTTTTAGGTTGTTTTGGTCAAGCTTTAAGTCATCTGGGTTGTGTTTAAGTTGGCTTAGGAAGATTTTAACTCATATTGGACGGGTTTTGAGTCATTCTGGACAAGTTTTCAGTTGTTCTGGACCAACGTTGGGTCATTTTGGACAGAGATTTGGTTGTTG